AGACCAAGAGCCTCTTCACCACGCCAAGGAGCCCCCCTTGAAGAGGACATTGTTCTTATACTCTCTGAAAAAAACATCAGCTGGCATAATTACACCCAGGTCTTTCATGTGTTCCTTTCATCATAATTTAGTTGATTACATTATTAAACTTTTTTATACAGCCCTTTATTGACAACATTTTGCCTAGTGGGCTTTATCAAATCACAAACAGATCTCTGTTTGTGACTTCATAAAACCCATTGTGTGGGTGAAATGTCAGTAAAGGATCGCATTATACTGCATTTGTTTATTTTTCCAGTACTGTATGTACATAAAGTATACTGTACACATGGAGGTGGAAAGTATAGTGCCTGTACTCAGAAGGAAGAGTCATTTGAATTGTGATGTCTGCACACACTTCTGACAAAACAACTATTGAATGGGTTAAAGTGAATGCTTTTTTTATCACCCTACCTCAGTGAGAGATTGGCAATCTTAAAATATAAAGAAATAAAAATATAACAAATTTATATTTGTATGTTCATATAATTTTTTTTAACTGGCCATCTCCCACCAAGGCAGGGTAACCCAAAAAAGAAACTATTTTTTTTACATTTAGTAATTATACAGGAGAAAGGGGTACTAGCCCCTTGAAGGAATTATAGATATGAAAAAGGTAACATTAAGATGACAACCTATAATATTCCTACTAAACAATGACTGGCCATTTTCTCTACTCAATTCCTAGTGAAAGGCTCTTGATCCAAGGAATTAAATATCCTCCAACTCTCCAGGTGCTGCATGACTCCCCTATAAGTTTAGGCACTTCCCAATGAATATAACATTATTTTCAGTGAACCTTTGGTTTAATGAACTAACAGGGAAGAGCAGATGATCAGTAAAGGAAGCTGTGGAGGATTGTAACAATAATGGATAATTCTGTAACCAATGGACTTGGCCCAGTGTTTCTGAATCAACTGACACCGCTAATTTTGTCCTGTATTTCCAAAATCTGCTAAATCATGGATTTATTTTTAAGAAAAATCAATAAACCCTTAACCCTTAAACTGTCCAAATGTAGATCTACGTTCGCTCGCGAAGCGCTCCGAACGTAGATCTACGTTTTTTTTACATTCTTTCTTATGGAGGAAATAAAGGTTGGAGCGCTATGCACGCAAACGTAGATCTACGTTTGGACAGTTTAAAGGTTAATTAGCAACCCTGTTAACTGGTTTCAAAATTACCGTATATTCATGGGGAAACACCAAGCCCAAAGTAGTCATACAGCACTGTCTAAGTCTCTGGATCAAGACCCCTTCACCAGTATTAAAACACCTATCTTGGAAAAGAAATTTTCGCTGACTTCTAGTCTTTCCAACTTGCAGTAGAAATTCTTTCAGACTCCTTAGGGAACCTGTAGAATGTTAGATTCAACTGAGTATCTTGTTAATTACAACAGTTAAAAATACCTTAAGCAATAACTATCATCTTAATAGGCTTAAAAAAATGAGAGAAATCTCACATGTATGCACTGTATGTGTACGTGGTTGTCACTGCAGCTTTGCATCCAATATGGCTGACAGCATGAAGAGTCAGTAATTTGTGAGGTCACATGCAAAACCTCAATAACCACAAATCTCTGTTGCATACTCTAGCACTGTATTCTTAAATCCACCCTATATCTCTTCAACTTCTTCATTACCTGTATTGTCCCTAGCCCAACTTTCTTTCAATAACTCTCTATTGCCCAACAACTGTTTCCATTAGGCCATTAACTTCTGCTTCCCTCATATGCACTCCATCTTCCTTTTACTCTTACTATAGCTAAAAATATCTTTAAGACTGTAATGATAGATCAGCGGGCCATCTGGTAGGATAATCAGATAAGATTTTGTTATAAAATAATGGCAGTGGCAGCAGCATAAACAGTGGAGTATCTGCAGTGTCAGATGGCACCACACAGCAAAATTCACTTGTCGCAAATCATAACCCACAGCAAATTTTGACAAATGGGGACATGTCCTAAGCTATTTAGGGACAAGTGGGGATACGGTACTTACCAGTAGGTTTGATTTAAAGAAAGGCAGGGAATCTCAAATTCCTTAGCAAGGAACAATAACGATGTTGCTTACAGCTTAAAGACTTGTGTGATAGGGCCATATTAGTGCTAGTATAAGAGAACAAAAAGTATTGAACAGTATCTAGAATTAGCAACAAACGATTTACTTGCACCACTCAGGTTTTTGACAACTGCTCTTACAGATGTCATACAATTTGTCAGCACCTCTGCACCCATGTGAAGTCCTCAAGGACTCTGGAAGAGCACATACATTGTGTGTACAACCAATACAATGCAAACAATCTGCATACAACATTTTTTTCATACCAGAAAGTTATGTGGAACTGCTTTTTACAAATTATATTTCCAAGTAAATCTTACCTTTGTGCACAAAGTTTTAATTTCTATGGTCATTCATCAATGGACAGATGATCATGGGCACCTTGCTTGTCTTTCCTACCCTCAAGTTGTAGAACAAAAGTAAAAGCAAATAAAATAGCATTTATAGGGGTATACAATTTATTTTACATACTGTAGATATTAGTACAAGAAATAGTTTTCTTTAAAATAAATAAAATTTTGGCTACTCATTTACTCTCAAAATTTGAGCCATTCAAGTAGACACACTCCACACAAGTATGCACTGAAACTGGTTTGCAAATACATTATATTTATCCACATGGATTAGAAAACCAAAATAATGCTATATACTTTCCCATTACATGGAATGGGTTGATTAATTCTGTACTACTGCACTAAGACTGGGAAAAATTTGCCTTGCTGGAGGCCTAGCTCATGAAAACTATTATTTTGTTGACTTTCCTTATATAGAGAGCTTAAAAAATGGACTAATTTATAATACTGAATGTTACACACCTCCTCTACTTTATATTAATGAAGTGTTTACAGGATTGTATAAACAATTTGTATGTTTTATCACTTTTGCACATTACACTTTTTAAAAAATTATAAAGCTTAGGTGCAGTATAAAACTTCAGTTGTATATGAAAACAGGTGGCAGTGATTAAAAAAATGCACTCCTTATTGACATATGACATGGAATGTACAAATTTTATTAAAAATGGGTAAAGTATTTCTTAGACAAAATTCTTTCTCTTTCTTTTTTGACACAGATGAAAAATTAACCCCACTGAGTGATGGGCACAAAAACGTCTTCCTGGCTCTGCTTGTGATCCGAGTCAGTCTCTTAAATACATTTCAAATTTCAAAATCTTTTACCCATTATTCTTTATTTACGAGAAAATGGCAGCATTATACTTAACAATTTACGTGGTTGTATATCATTTCCCTGTACACAATGGTATGTCTGTTTACTGAGTTTGTTAATAATTTTTAAGTGTGAGAGATTTTAAAAACCATAACAAGTAAATTTTATCTTCACTATCAAGCAGTTTCCTTCAATTGATATGTCATACGTTTATTTTGATGTTAAATGTTTTAACGAGTTGAAGGATTATTCAAGTGCAAGGGTAAGCAATCTATTGCAAATAAATTTTATCCATTATGACCAATGTGGTTAACATTGAATGATATGCATAATGAATTGGCTGTCAAGCCATTCCACTGTGCAAGTCTTTTTTTGTGTCAAGCCTTTCATTTCCTAAAAGTGTCCTTATGATTATCTGTTGCGTCTCATTCTTAAAAATAAAACAAATAAGGATCTGTTTAATTCCATACCTTGAATTTCATAGCCTTCCATATATACCTTCTCTGTACTGGTTGAAGAGTGCCATTTTTGTTCTTCAGCAAGTCCTGTGGGCATTGCTGATGGTTAACTGTATTTGCTGAAAGTACAGTATATACAAAAAATGTGGATGGAAAAAACAAGTAGGAAGGATCTGGAAAGCAGTAGGAAACTTTTAAAATCCAGAAGGTACATAACGTGATCTTGCTAAATTAGATTATTCTATTCATGGGATGTATCATTGCCACAAATCATTCAGCAATGAATGGCAAAGGTGTGAAAGATAGATGGCAATGAGTGAGAGAGAGGTAGTGTTAAGAGTTAGATCAGCATGGATAAAAAGACAAATGGTCCATGATATATGACTTTCTAGTTTTGAGGGTTCTACCACTGTAACCAGGCCTGCAACTAGACTTCCTGCTTGACTGCCTAGCCAAATGGCTCTTACTGCTAGTGACCTGCAGACCTACACAACTATCACTTTATTGATCAAGTGCTTGCAGCAGGTAATGGTTGCTTCTTCTTGAAAACTTAACCACTGTCCCAAGAAATCATGAAAATCAGCTACACAGACCTGAGGTATAAATACACATTTTACAACATGATATTTAATTTTTATTGAAGTAGACCAGTGAGCTAGCAAAAGGCCCTGGTCAGTCACCTACCAAAAGATTCACATAACATTAGGAGACGCTTTCAATATATACACATGTATATACACTGTACATATATACATATACACACTGATACTAAGGCTAAAATTTAGCTAGAATTTAAAACATTACTAAACAATCTCTAGAATAATTTAACAAAGTTAAATGAGATATTATGTACAGTAAGATGAATTTGACTTTTACATTTTCACACTGCTAGAGAAAAATACTAATTTTAGTACAGTAATAAACTTTCATTAATACTTTGTGGTTTAAAATTAAAAGAAATAAAAATCTGATTTTCCTACTCACATACATATGCACAATACTTAAGGAAAATATACAGAATCTGAGGGGCAACAACATAATATGGATTTCATAATAAATACAGCAGGGCCCCACTTATACGGCAGATTAAGTTCCAGGCTGCCACCAGAAAGCAGAATGCCATTTTTTCCACTTATAAATGCCAGATAACAAGTTTACACTAACATATATTAAGTTAGCAATAAAACTAGGCATTAAAAAAACAATAAAAAGTAAAATACACACACAGTACACTCATTATTTACCTCAAGATATTTGTAGCCTTAATGTAGGGCAAAAGGCAAGTACATAGTATTTATTGTAAGAAGTCAGGTGTGGTAGGTATGGTAGCTCTCCTAGCCACCCCACCCACACGTAATATACTACAACGTTTAGAGCGTCCTAGACTGATAAAATGCATATAAAGTACACTCATAACTTACCTTAAAATATTTGTACAGTGGTACCCCAAGTTTCAGCCATAATTCGTTCCAGAAGGCTGTTCAAGTGCCGTTACCCAACGGATTTGTTCCCATAAGGAATGATGTAAATTACATTAGTCCATTTCAGACCCCCAGAAATACACTTACAAAAGCACTTACAATAATACACTTGCATAAGTGTTCCAGTTGGGAGCTGTACGAAACTTGGGTTACCACTGTGGTCTTAATGTAGGGCGAGAGGTGAAAAGTATTTATTTGTAGAAAGTCAGGTGTGGGAGGTATGGTAGCTCACCTGGCCACCCCAACCACACACAATATACTACAACATTTAAAGCACCCTAGTGCAATAAAATGCATATACAGTACACTCATTAATTACCTTAAAATATTTGTAATCTTAATGTAGGGTGAGAGATGAGTAAGCAAGATAAAAACAAGTAAATGAAAGAGAGAACAAGTAAAAGAGAGGATAGAGGCAGAAAGCATGTAAACAAACGGACGAACGCATCTGGTTATGGTTCATACACGTTCATACAAACATCTTACACTGTGTACAAGTTGTCTCCACATTGGTACAGTAGAATAAATAAACAGCAATACTCCCATTCTCATGCAACACACCATTTTTAGAGTGAACGATGATATTATTACAATCGTAATAAATAGGAAGCGCTAAACCCACATGGGTCATAAATAACTATAGAATTAAGGCATATGAAAGGAATATTTTTTTACAGTTATCCCCCAGTTAACTGGTATTGGACTAGAGAAAACATAATTCTTCCGACACTCCTACAAGCTGCTTGGTAAACACATCTCATATTTATGTCAATTTTTATACTATGGGTTTATGTATCATGTTTATGTGTTATGTAACATGTTTCTTGTATAATTTTGAAAAAATATCATAGATGGATTAATGGAAATGTCTATTAACGTATTATACGACATGTAATGCGCCCAAGAGATTATTGTTTTTAATATGGCATCTTCAAAAGTAGTCTCTCTTAGTGATTTTAATGTGTACCTGCATGCCAACACAGTATGTACGTATATTTAAGTACAGGTACACAAGTATAATTATCAGAGTACGTACATATAAAACATGCAGTATAACTTTAAAACACTTGAAATTCTGGAAAGTTTCCAGACATAATAGAGATGTGTTCACAGAGAATGTAAATAAACTCAGTGGGCACGCCGTATCAGAAAGACAGGGGAAGCCATATAGCGAGTTTTGGCAATACGTACATAATTTGAAATGTCCGTATTAGCAGAATGCCGTAAGGCAAAACACCACAAAGCAGGGCCCTACTGAATGTAACAATGTCAAGACCTTATATCTCTGGTGTAAAAATAAGCCAATGTTTTCAAGATGTTTGCATGTTAAGTTTGAAGTTTTCCTTATTGTTAGCATACTGAGATCACTCACAGAAATTTTATATCACACTAAACTACCACTGTGAACACCTTAGGTCACATACAAACATGGAAACTCAGATTCTTAAGTGATTGCCAATTATATGCCTCATTTTGTTTCTTAATAAAAATACAGACAATAAATTATTGCCACGTTTTAAAAATATTGTTTTAGCAAACTGGCCATATTCAACTGCGGTAGGGTGACCTAAAAAGAAAAACAAAAGTTCTCTCTAAATTAAGTCATTTATACAGGAGAAGGGGTTACTAGCGCCTTGCTCCCAGCATTTTAGTCAACTCTTATGACACGCATGGCTTACGGAGGAAGAAATGAATCTATTTGTTCCTAGAAATTTGCAGGGTTTTTTAGTTTTGTGGAACATGTTTCACAAAACTGAAAAAAGTGAGCAATATAAAATTAAATCTGCATAAAAAAATTTTGGTTCAGATTTGGGGCCATTTTGCATTTTAGAGACCATTTCTCTGTTATATATCACTAATATGGTTAAAATTAACATTTCTAAAAAATAATGATCACAATGAAAAGATACATGGCATGGGCAACCAAATGAGTTAGAAAAATGTTGGTTAATTTAATCTATTCACTGGCTGGCTATCAGTTAAAATGCTTCATAATCAAAACCCATTAATAACGAAGTCCGTGAATTTCTAAGGACAACCGTACACACGTTACTCCTCATTGATCTGATAATCTATTGAAATTTATATGAAATATATGTATTTAGCAATTTGTGTATTATATATTATTACTGTACAGTATTACCTGCATTATATAAATCTGTAAATAAGAGAAATAAACAGCAAAACTAACAATAATATTTTATCGCATCTGAAATTCATACTCTCTCCAATATTCTTGAGTCATCATTTGTGAGAGACGAGATACAGCACGGTCAAAAGCAAACATCTCCTCTTCTCCTGTGAAGATATTCATAGCCTTTGTATTTTCATTTTTCTCCTTGAGCCCTAAATCATCCATTAGCATTAAACTTTCTTTGTCTATGAATTCCGAATGGCCTTCATCTCCCCTGAATATCTGAGTATGAGGAACGTCACTGGTACATACAATCCGTACCTGAAGACAGTTTTAAAAATATGTATAAGTATTGTAAGTACAACTGTAAGTAATAGACCTGTTGATGACTCAGTTGCCCCTGAAAGTACAGTATGGTATTTTTCTGATGAGAAATAAAGAAGGAAGTTCCCCATTTCCCAGGATCTTAGTTTTTCTCTTGACTCTAATCACAAAATGTTACCCTGCTCACACTCCAACAGCTCGTCAGGTCCAATAAACCGTTTGCCTCCACTCACTAATATCTAACATGCTCACACATGCCTGCTGGATGTCCAAGCCCCCTCCCTCCATTCTTTCCTAAGATTACCCCTACACCACCTTCCCTCCACTACAGAACAGATCTGCATATAATAAATAGATGGCAGAAGGTTTGAGTTACAACTGGTACAGTGGGTACTGTCCCTAGGGCTTATGAAAAACTTTAAAGCCCCCAAAACTCCCTGACTAGTCAAAACTGAGAAAATAAAAATGCTAAATCACACAACAATTTTTAATAGAATTACCTTGTTTTGCAAACATCACAATGGGACCTATATATTAAATACGAACAATGAAAATGTTTATAGTTTTTATAGACACTGTATATTGGAGGCCTATGAGTGTGTGTGCCTCCAGGGCCTAAAGATTTTAATCTAGCCCCTGGGTGCCACATAATAACAGCAATATTACACCACCCATCCCTCTGCCTATTGTACAGTTAGATTTTTATTGAAAGTTTAAGATATTAAATGACACCCTATTTAATTTATTAAGTAATATTTCCATCAGAGAATGAGATCAATAGGTCTATTGCCTACCAGAAAGAACCAACAAAAATTAAATATTTTAAAATTTGCAGCAATGAGCTTGGGAAGAGAGAGAAAAATGAATGCAGACTCTCTGTAAGAACAAGTTTATTGAGTATCAAAATAAAAATCATGTTTCTATAAGCTGCTTACTCTGTACTACTTATTAATCACTTCTGAGAACAAATGAACAGGAAATAACTCATGGTTTCTAAAACATAAGAAATTAAGTGAGATGACAGTTTACAAAAAAGTTCTTTAATTTGTTCTCCTGAATGCAGTTGACCCTTGAACAACATGGGTTTGAACTGCATGGGTCCATGTATACACAATTTTTTTTTTAATAAATACACTTTTTTTTTTTTTTTTTTAGATTTACAACAATTTATAAAAATTTGCAGACGAACTGTGTAGCCTAGAAATATCTAAAAAATTAAGAAAAAGTTAGATATGTCATGAATGCATAAAATATGTGAAGATACTAGTCTATTTTATCATTTACTACTATAAAATACACCCAAATCTATTATAAAATGTTAAAATTGATCAAAACTTACATACACAAACACTTGCAGATTGTACATGGTGCCATTCACAGCAGAGAGAAATGTAAATAAACATAAAGCTGCAATATTAAGTGATAATTGCATAAAATTAACTGTAGTACACACCGTACTACTGTAATAATTTTGTAGCCACCTCCTGTTGCTATTGCGGTGAGTTCAAGTGTTGCAAGTATCTGCTTAAAATGTCATGTGATGCTAATCATCTCCATGTGAGGAGTTCATTTCTCCAGTAAATTGCTTATTGCAGTAAAAAGTGATCTCTTGCAGTTCTCACATATTTGTCATGGTGTTTAGTGCAATACTGTTAACCTTGAATAACACTATGGGACACATACAAATTGTCACTAGTGATGCTGGAAGTGTTTCTACGAAGTTGAACTGCTTGATGTGTACTGTAGATTGAGGTCTGCAGCTGCAGTTGCCTGCCATTTCAAAATAAATGAATCCACCATAAAGACCATTATAAAAAAGAAAAGGAAATTCGTGAAGCCGTCACTATAGCTACGCCAGAAGGCACGTAAACCTTGCACTTTTTGTAAAATACCTTTTTATTTCATGCTGAAAATGCAACTTTTATGTGAGTGAATGATTGCTATAAAAAAGGCATACCTATAGACTAATATGATTTAAGAAAAAGCAGTCATTATACGATAACATTAAGCAAAAGGAAGGTGAAGGGTCTAAAGCTGGAGAATTTAATGACAGCAAGGGATGGTTTGATAATTTTAGAAAGAAGTCTGGCTTAAAAAATGTCAAGATAACAGGAGAAGCAGCTTCTGCTGACCAAGAGGCAGCAGATGACAGACGATTCATCTTGTAAACAGACGACGTAAACTTACAGTATCAATACATACAGTACAGTACTGTAAATGTATTTTCTCTTCCTTATGGTTTTGTTAATAACATTTTCTTTCCTCTAGCTTATTGTATTGTAAGAATACAGTATAAAATATATTTAATTTGTCAGTTTCAAAACCATTTATTACATTTAACACACAAAATATGTATTAATCAACTGTTTGTGGTATCAGCATGGCTTCCGGTCAACAGTATACAAATACAAATAAATACAAATACAAAATTTATTCTTTTGCATAGTATACAACACAAGATTTACATGTTATTAGATATTGTTAAGCACAAAGAAAGTCACTAGCATACCAGAACTTTTCGGGGAGACTAATCCTAAAGATTACAGGATACTTAAGACTAAACATAGATCAATGAGTGGTAAATTTTAATTATGAATTTTCTGAATTAGTACAAAAAGAGAGGTAGCCAAAAATTTTTAATTAATAAGATTTATAGTAGAGGCAGAAAAAAATATTACAATTAGTATAATTTACAATATTACAACAGTACAATTTTAAGTGTGTATTAATATTTTAAACTGATGTAGGAGTCATAAGAGGGATTTCTTGTAGTTCCAAACTGGTTAAATGATTTCAGATATGGAATAGTGCTGGTACAGTTAAGTTTGGGAGATGAGATGATTTTTAATTATAGCCCTAAACTCAGTGGCAGACAGGGAGAGAGATTTCGTTCGGATTTTTAACCCCGGAGGGTTAGCCACCCAGGATAACCCAAGAAAGTCAGTGCGTCATCGAGGACTGTCTAACTTATTTCCATTGGGGTCCTTAATCTTGTCCCCCAGGATGCGACCCACACCAGTCGACTAACACCCAGGTACCTATTTGCTGCTAGGTGAACAGGACAACAGGTGTAAGGAAACGTGTCGAAATGTTTCCACCCGCCGGGAATCGAACCCGGGCCCTCCGTGTGTGAAGCGGGAGCTTTAGCCACCAGGCCACCGGGCCACCTAAAGGGGACTTTCTGTTGGTTCCAGCAATGAATTCCAGATCTTGGGGCCCTTTATGTGCATTTTATTTTTGAACAGGGTAAGATGGACACGAGGGCTGTCAGAGAGTTTTGTGCCTGTGTGTTCTGTTGTAGCTAACAAAAGTTTGGAATTTAATATTCTATATAGTATATAATGGGCACAGTAATATGAGAGCATGTTTTATGTATTATATTAAGAAGTTCAAACTCTTCAAGAGCAGAGGGGTGTGTTGTCTGGTGTGGGAGTTGGTGATCATCTGCACAGCAGCTTTTTGTTGGGTTATTAATGGTTTAAGGTGATTAGACATAGTAGATCCCCAAGCACAAATACCATAGTTTGAGGTAAGGGTAGATTAGAGAGTGGTATAGTGTAAGTAGTGGTATTTGGGGGTACATAGTACCATATTTTGGAAAGGATGCCTATTGTTTTGAAGACCTTCTTGGCTATATGTACATGTATGTTGGATGCGGGTCTGAAATTTAAGGTTGCAGTTAAAGTGAAGATCTAAAAATTTGCCCTCAGTGTGTCTTGTAATTTAAAGAGAGCCTGTTGGTCATCATCCATGTAGATATTTTTAGCAGCTCGTTGTTAACAGTGTCACAAAGCATTGTTGGGTATGAGTGGGAGAAATTATAAGTAGTGTCATTTGTGAACAGAACTTTTTAAAAGAGATCACTGATGTAAATGAAAATGAGCAGAGGGCCAAGGACACAACCCTGTGACAGTCCAATGGCTACTGGCTAAGTAGTCAAGGTTTCACTGTTATTAGAAGAGCTTTTGGGGAGTCAAAAGTTATACGTGGATTTTTGACTGCGTGGGGGTCAGTGCCTTAACCCTAGTGTTGTTCAAGGGTCAACTCTATACTATTACAGTTTTAGATAAAAATATGGTTACTTGCTTTACCTTTTTATCATAAAATGTATCAATGAGAGTGATGAATCGTCTAGCTTGGCTCCTGGACTTCTGGTTTAAGACTGGGATGTCTCTGATGATGATGGTATGGAACACAAGACACAGCTGGATGTAATCGGAAGCACCTAGAGGCTAGAAATTAAATGAGGGAATGCCCATTATTCTTAAGTATGGTATGGTACCTTAATAAGCATCTTCATAACTTACCTAGCAGAAAGTTATCTTACCTTTCAAAACAGTACAGTACATTATCAATATATTTACCTGCCCTTCTCTTGTATAGTTATCTCCAATACTGTATTGAGAATTGAGGGTGGACTAATGTATGATCACCCAAGATAATTCAGTCAGTGGCTGAGGACAAATAAAATCATCTAATTTACATTTGCAATTGTGACTATACATGATAGTGCAATGGTAATTTTGGATGGTCACTTGTTAAAGAATTTTACGTATTGGTTTGAATATAACACAGGTCAAGTTCACACTGGTAAATATGCACAAGCACATTGAGGATGGCTTCAGACCTGTAAAAGCAGGCAAAAATACATTACTGAGAGAGTAGTGTAATTCTATGGGTAAACAGGATTAACAGGTTTATTACCTCATTCTCATAAAAATAAAGTAAAAATCCTATGATAATGAATTATTAATACTGTACAGTATTACATTAAAAATTCATGTAAGAACTTTAAAGTATGGTACTTACTCTGTTACACAATTCATCAAATGTGGTATCTAATATTCCACCACAAGTCTTTTGGAATGTCACACTTCTACCGCTGTAAGTGAGGGTGCGTGGTCGGACAATATCCGTTTCCTCCGCACTGAAGATCTGCACAAGGAAATTTTTTATACTCGGCTGTTTTCCAAAATGACTAATCATAAAAGGTGTTTTTTACAGTTTTTACATTCAAAACAGTTACTGAATGAATGCTGGTGAATGTGCTTCCTTTTTTGAGTCACTCTACCTTGGTGGGAGATTATCGGTGTCAAAGAAAAAAAGATAACTTTTTACATTTGTATTGAATTTGTTTCTAAATATGTACAGTATTAAAAATGATAAATATACACAGTACAGAACATATTTTTTTAAACTATCAGTTGTCTACTTTCCCATATCTCTGATGCAGATAAAGCTCAAGACAGGCAATCTAGGACAATCATATACAGTAATACCCTTTTGTATAACTCAGCAATGCTTATTGCACCGAAAAAGAGAGCTACAACAGTGCACAGCTGAAGCACTTGGCATGAAACAGAGTCCTGTCTCTTGTTTGCTTTTACAGACTGCCTGAAGATGCAAGCTGGCACATGTTCCTTGTTAGCAGCATTACAAATGTTAAAAATGTTTAACAAAAAATTGCATATCAAGAGGATATTTGGAAAGTAAAATGTGAGAATTCACAACTAACCTACAAACTTTCAATGAAGCTAAATGACATCTTAGACCACTGACAATTCATGTGGACATATGGCCCAAAGCATCATCTAGTTTCCTCTCCAATATGTGGGTTAACTGTGAAATGTTCAGTCATGCTATTGTGACTTATTCTTCTACAATATGAGAAGTTTGAATGAAGCTAAAGACAACTACTGAGGAGAAAGATAATTATTTGATGGCGGGCTAGGTTTTAAGGTGAAGTAACGAGATGAATTAAGCAGCGATTATATATATGCGAGATGTAAAAGAAATGAGATTACAAAGCCTGTGTAACCACTTATTGAGCATTATAATAGATTATGGTGAGGAGATTTGTCTGGTTAGTATATAATTAAGACAAGTGAAATATGCCTATTACTGAGCGATTTTGGAAAATGGTAACAGCAGCCTTTGGGTAGGAGATAAGAGGAAGGAATTAAAGTAAATATAATAAAGACAGAGGTATTTTACTAGATCTATGATATTTTACAAAGTCCTTTATGCAGAGATTTTTTTTTTTTTTTTAATTCGCCGGTATTCTCCCGGCCCGGGTCTTTTCCAAGTAGTGGTGACCCGGCCTTGGCTCCCTATCTGGGGAGTGTCTCGAGACTTAAGTCTCCCATGGGAGGAGGTACAAGTACCTCCTCATCTTTGGGACCAAGTGTCCCCAGGCCTAGCCACATTCCCCGCCCTCACGGGGCTCGTAGGGAGAAGCTAGTCCTCTGGTCTGCCATCTACCCCGCCTCAAAGGGGCTCGTGGGGATGGCAGTCTTATGAGCTGCAGATGGTAGCAAGCTCAGGCTTTCATGCAGAGATATTCATACTTTTGTACTGTATTATTCATGTTTGGCACAAAAATAGATCAAAGATTCAAAAATTTTGATATCTTAAGCATCAAGTGTCAGACAATTGCTGGTCTGTAGTGCACAGGCTGATTGTAGTCCACAAGTTGATTCACTAGAACTCAGACCCAGCATACAAGCTTTTCTGAATTCCTTCATTAATATTACCTTCTTATCTTCAACTTCTACACTACAGTAGAATCCCTACATACAGTATGTAAGTAGTATGTACTTACAATAAAATCTCTCTCAACAAACACAGTAAATGTAATAAGTTTAGTATAATCTCCAATTTGTGGATTAAACTTAACAAACTAATTCTCAGGCACCATCTAAATATCTCATACCTTCTAGCTTTTCAATTACTCTCACTATCCTTTCAATATATAAATAAATCCTAAGGTACCTGTACTTACCTTTCTACTTCATTACCTTTCTCACTCAGTTCAAAAATACATCAGTGGTAGCTTCCATTGTGTGTATTTCACAACTAATCTACAAACTGCACATGAAATCAGATTTCAACGAGTTCAGGACTACAATCAAGTTACAAGTCAACTTGATAATGGTCCAGGACAGCCTGAAACATTTAGATTCATCACCAATTTGTGGGCTAGTTGTGAATTGCTCCAGCCATAGCATTGTAACCTCATCCTCCTCTTCATGATTTTCCATATTTACCTCATTTCAAATATTTCATTGGTTCATTTTTTGTTATACTTACATTCCATTTAACTCTGATCTACTAGATAATTTTGACGAAAGCTTTCTCAATGTCATCTGGTTTTTCCTTAACTGTGTCCCTCGGTTTTTTCTTTTTTTTCCTTTTCCTTTCTTATTTGATGACACGTGATACATTAAATCTAACAAGGGCAAGAGTTTATGCTTAAAAATACTGTCCCATCTATGAACCCCACTACTTCTTTCATTAATAATGTACCATCATTATTTAACTTTAATGTCATAACTGCTAACATTCTCCTTACATTTTTCCAATACTTTACTGGCCTTAGATAAGAGCCTTCCATCTTTATCTTTTATTATCTCAATTTTACTACTGTCTACTCTTATTTATTTAGTGCCTAATTTGCCTCTCTTTTTTCATAAACTTTAAAATAATGTCTTCATGTGCTTTTCTCTACTCCTCCAGTGTCACCCTTTTCACATCTTTATCACAATCCTTATACTTTTGTTGGAAAAGGATTGGATGAAGTAGATGTAACTGAAAAGTAAATACAAATATTTTACCACAAATATAATACTGACAATGGCTAAAAGCATTGGCATACAAGGCTTTGAATGTGTACATGCAAAATAGGCTGACAGTAAATGAAAACAAGAACCAGGTGGTAGCTTTCAAAGGGAAATCATATCATAAGGTGGGACGTAATGCTGATAAGCTAAAACAGGTACGGATTTTACCTAATGATTGAGGCATTTCAGTGGAGAGCGGTGGTAGTGTGGTTATCACATCAAGCTGGCAATCAAGGGGTCCCAAGTTCTAATCTCCACAGAGGGGCAGCATTGTTGCTAATTTAGAACTTTAAATAGTTTCTGCAGTATTAGTTTACTACAGTACCACCAACTTCAAGCAACATAGCCACAGCAGTCTCTCAGATGTTGTATAGATAGTGATATACTAAACTGTACCGCTCATTATTATTTTATGTAATTATATATTATAAATGAAAGACAAGGTAAACCACAGAATTGATGAAGGGAAAAAGGTAGGTGGTGCACTGAGGTATCTGTGGAGAAAAAGAATGTTATCCATGGAAGCAAAGAGGGAAATGAATGAGTGTACATATAGTGGTACCAACACTCTTATATAAGTGTGAAGCATGGGTTGTGAATGTTGCAGTGAGGAGGAGGTTGGAAGCAGTGGAGATGTCGTGTCTGAGGGATGTGTGGTGTAAATATTATACAGAGAATTAGTAGTTTGAAGATTGGGAGGAGGTTTGAAGTTACTAAAGGTATTATCCAGAGGGCTGAGGAGGGGTTGTTGAGGATGGAGCAAAACAGGATGACTTGGAGGGTGTATAAATCTGTAGTGGAAGGAAGGAGGGGTAAGGGTCATCCTCAGAAAGGGTGGAGGGAGTGGGTAAAGGAGGTTTTGTGTGCAAGGGATTTGGACATACAACAGGCATGTATGAGCATGTTAGACAGGAGTGGAGACAAATGGTTTTTAGGACTGGACGAGTTGTAGTGTGAGCAAGGTAATATTTTGTGAAGGGATTCAGGGGAAACTGGTTAGCCAGACTTGAGTCCTGGAGGTGGCAAATACAGTGCCTGCACCCTGACTGACTGACTGTCTTGACTGATTTACTGACTGACTGACTTGACTGATTTACTGACTTGACTGGTTTACTGACTGACTGCCTTAAAGTTGGACTTTATCACTGAAGAAGACCCTGAAACAGTGTCGAGAGCAGCTGATACCTTACCGTCAGTTGTATAATATAGTGGGGTAAAACAGAACAGAAATCAATTACAGAATGTATGCACACTCCAATACAACCATCGACTTCAGCACCAGAACCTCTACTATCCACCTCAGCCCAGTAGGACCACAGCATAACTCTCCATTCTCTTCACTATCATCCATAAACACCAGCACCCACAAGAAATACTATTATCTCTGTTGCATTTGTAGTCTTAAGCAGTAAAAACAACACAATGCATCATGACAATGAACTACAATTACATATTCACTTTTATTTTTGTAAGATCTGGAGGTCTAAAAAAAGTTGTCTAACTCTTTTGAGGCTCACAGAAATGTAACCTTATTTTTCCCATAAGTTCTTCAGTTTATCTAACATGGATTTACGAAACATGGCATTTTCAGGAACGTAACTACCATGCAATATAATGGCCTACTGTACTTACACTCACACTACAGTGCTAACAAAGTTTGCTTCATTATGTGAACCCTCCCTTTATCCTTCCAACAAATACCATTTTTCGATATTGTTTCCCTTTCATTTTTATTCTTCCCTTCAACTTCCTCACAGCATTTATTTGTGAAGCATTAATTCCCCACGTGGGTCATTTAGAAAACAGGAACGGTGAAGGCTCGATTCTCTATCTAGTAATTGAAAGAGAGAGAGATACACACACACTACCTAACTACTCATCTCCTACCTCTTGCTTGTAAGCATATTCGTTCTTTTCATGCAATCATGCTTCCCAGAACAAGGAAGTGGCAGCTGCTTCACTTTTATGATAAAAAATAATAACTATTTCATGAATGTGACAGGTTGCCAGAAGGAACATTATTATTATTACATTTATGGGAGATGGGGAAAAACGTGCTAAACTCTTAGGGCTTATATAGCGCCTGGAGGAAAGGGAGGTAATCAGGTTCACTCCAAGGAAGGGGAGGTCAGGTCCAATTCCTTAGGTCAAGAATTCCTCACCAGCATCAAAAACCTCCCTTGCAGAACTGGAAGGAATAATACAGATAACAGTCAAACCCCTAAAGTCATGAATAATATAAAATTTCTCATGACTACATACTAGAACTTCTCTGTTTTTTAAGTCAGTGGAGATGTCCTGTCTAAGGGCAATGTGTGGTGTAAATATTATGCAGAGAATTCGGAGTGTGGAAATTAGGAGGAGGTGTGGAGTTAATAAAAGTATTAGTCAGAGGGCTGAAGAGGGGTTGTTGAGGTGGTTTGGTCATTTAGAAAGAATGGATCAAAGTAGAATGACTTGGAGAGCATATAAATCTGTAGGGGAAGGAAGGAGAGGTAGGGGTCGTCGGAGGGAAGGGGTAAAGGAGGTTTTGTGGGTGAGGGGCTTGGACTTCCAGCAGGTGTGTGTGAGCGTGTTAGATAGGAGTGAATGGAAACGAATGGTTTTTGGGACCTGACGAGCTGTTGGAGTGTGAGCATGGTAATATTTAGTGAAAGGATTTAGGGGAACCGGTTAGCTGGACTTGAGTCCTGGAAATGGGAAATACAATGCCTGCACTTTAAAGGAGGGGTTTGGGATATTGACAGTTTGGAGGGACTTCTAAACTGTTGTATCAAAGCACCTCTGCAAAGACAGTGATTATGTATGAGTGAGGTGAAATGCTGAATGATGATGAAAATATTTTCTTTTTGGGGATTTTCTTTCTTTTTGGGTCACCTTGCCTCGGTGGGAGATGGCTGACTTGTTAAAAAAAAAAAAAAAAAATTATTAATACACATTGTCACTCTTTCTGCAATTCCTAAATTAGTACATATTAAATATACATAAAATGTTAGAATTCCTTGTGAATATGGAATAAACAAAATATTTGGGCAAACACTGTCATGTACGTACCACCACCTCCTCCTCTGTATATATGGAATGTTTGTGTTGGTGTTCATGGCCCCTCCATCATTGTAACTCATTGCTTATTAGAAGGTAAAGAGCAAATGTAAAGATAATTAAAGTAAGATAATATGAGACATCTGTTTGATAAAACTATAAGTACATGAATTTTTGGTAATAAAAGTTTATAAATAAACAGATTAACCCCTTCTCCTGTATACATTACTAAAGTTAAAAAGATAAACTTTTGTTTTTCTTTTGGAGCCACCCTACCTTGGTGGGATACAGTCAGTTTGTTGAAAAAAAGAGAAGAAATAAACAGATACCCAATATGACAGATACCTTAAATAATGCTTCAACTTCTGAATTTGCATCACATTCTGATTTGATGAAGAACAGCTTTTGTGAATTTGAGAGTGTGTTTGCCCGATAATCTATGCCTGAGTCTAGATTCATAACCTGAAATAATACTGTATTTAATATTCAACAGTTGCAATTTTAAAGGCAAAAATGCTCACGCATTTCATTGACATAGCATTAATTCAAATATTTTTTGTGAACTATTACTGTACTCATACTCTGCAGCACCCCTGGCAGCAAATACAAAATACTTATAGCACTATATACAAAACTGGTTTAGTTATCTCATAGTACATTCAGATATAGCATGATGGTTTATTAGAGTGAATAAAATTCTCGTGAAGGAAAACTTAATGTTTTATATGTTTTGTTTATTAAATAATTATGTTTTCCAGTAACCTTGTACATGCACAGGTACAGATAACTGCAAGCTACTTATAACTGTCTTATGGAAAGACAATTATAAGCAGACTAATGTTTAGAAATAAAGCTTCAGTCTAAATCAGAATTCAGTAAATGGAAATAAATAGGACAGTGCTTACCTCACAGTGAGATTTAAGTATAGGAATGAATGGCAAAAAATTTGACCTCTGGAGACCATTCCTATACAAGTCATCAGGTCGTCGATTGCTTGTTGCTATGACAACAATGCCATTATTAAATAATTCTGTAAACAATCGTTTAAGAATCATAGCATCACCAATGTCTGTCACCTGTTGAAAGAGTTCACATAAATAGAAAGCAATATTGTATGAATGAACACACATCATATATGATTCTACAAAATTACAGAGAAAAAATTATCTACTGTTTTTCATGGTTACTATACTGTATTTACAAACACATATACAGTATTATGTATGGATATATTTATTATTATTTTATTATCACACTGGCCTATTCCCACCAAGGCAGGGTGGCTCGAAAAAGAAAAACTTTCACCATCATTCACTCCATCACTGTCTTGCCAGAAGGGTGCTTTACACTACAGTTTTTAAACTGCAACATTAACACCCCTCCTTCAGAGTGCAGGCACTGTACTTCCCATCTCCAGGACTCAAGTCCAGCCTGCCGGTTTCCCTGAACCCCTTCATAAATGTTACTTTGCTCACACTCCAACAGCACGTCAAGTATTAAAAACCATTTGTCTCCATTCACTCCTATCAAACACGCTCATGCATGCCTGCTGGAAGTCCAAGCCCCTCGCACACAAAACCTCCTTTACCCCCTCCCTCCAATCTTTCCTAGGCTGACCCCTACCCCGCCTTCCTTCCACTACAGACTGATACACTCTTGAAGTCATTCTGTTTTGCTCCATTCTCTCTACATGTCCGAACCACCTCAACAACCCTTCCTCAGCCCTCTGGACAACAGTTTTGGTAATCCCGCACCTCCTCCTAACTTCCAAACTACGAATTCTCTGCATTATATTCACACCACACATTGCCCTCAGACATGACATCTCCACTGCCTCCAGCCTTCTCCTCGCTGCAACATTCATCACCCATGCTTCACACCCATATAAGAGCGTTGGTAAAACTATACTCTCATACATTCCCCTCTTTGCCTCCAAGGACAAAGTTCTTTGTCTCCACAGACTCCTAAGTGCACCACTCACCCTTTTCCCCTCATCAATTCTATGATTCACCTCATCTTTCATAGACCCATGGATATATGCAGTGTAATTTACTATTTGAGTTCTAAGAAATGTTTTTAGATATGTAGTATAGATCTACAGCTATTACTAAATTTTAGAAGAGAAACTTTCGTTTTTCTCTTAAGTCACCCTGCCTCGGTGGAATACAGCTGGTTTGTTGAAAAAAATCTATAGCTCTTTTGGGTATATTATTTCCAACTATGCTCTCTTGTTCCTGTTTCATCCTTGGATAATGATGTACAGCATCCTGGTCTACCTTGTCTATGCCCTTCCAGTAATATAAGATCTGAATATAAGAAGTAAATTCTTTTTCATAGCTCATTTTCCTCAACTCAAGAACCAGTCTTTATGAACTCTTTTGTACCATCTCAAATCATCATCATCATCATCTTTCAACAAACCGGCCGTATTTCACTGAAGCAGGGTGGCTCAAAAAGAAAAACAAGTTTCTTTTTTTTAACTTTAATAATGCATACAAAAGAAGGAGTTACTAGCCCCTTGCTCTCAGCATTTTAGTCGCCTTTTACGACACACATGGCTTATGGTGGAAGAATTCTGTTCCACTTTCCCATGGAGACCATCTCAAATATCCTTTGCCTTTTACTAGATGAAGGTTCCATATACTGTTGCATAAAATAATTTGCCTAGGATCATGGCTCATTACTAACATTAAATATATTTTTTTTATTTTACAATTACATATTCAGTATGACCAAAGAGATAGGAACCTGACAAATGCAAAAGTATTAGTTTATGTCTCACCTGAAATTCATCAAAACATATGAACCATGATTCATCAGCAATGGCCCTTGCTACAGGTGGAATGGGATCGTATGGCCTAAGGTTAATTGTAAATGTTCCATCTGGTTCAAAATAACGAGCCTGATCAGGAGCATGGATTTTCTTGATGTTTTTCTTCTCTGTATGAATTCTCTTATGAACATCTAGCATGAAGGAGTTGAAATGTACCTATAAAAGAAGTACGGTAATACAAATTAAAATCAATGATTCAATACTAATTAGAATATACTTTAATAATAAAACATACTATAAGCCGATACTGAATAAAATGCTGAAGGATGATCAAATTAAGAATGCTTATCTTCCAACTATTCTGTATCTGTCCAGAAGTATACAGAAACCTATGAAATCTTTCTAATGCACTCCCCTGTGCATATGAATTTAGCATATTCCTACCAAAAATTAAGTACAGTGGGTTATGTTATAACAAATGGTTTATATAATGAATACGCATCTACATCATTCAAAAAGATCCTACAGATGAACTGCCTGTAAGAGAGTCACCAAAGAGGATTAGGAAGGATGACTCCTCTCCTTTTACCTCTTCTCAGTAATTCTCTCCTCCTCTGCCTCCTGTCCTGCATGCTGCATGCTGTACGTATTAATATTCTTTATTTCAGGAGTTTAAATGCACATTTATGCACTTTTTTACAATTTTATATTATATTTTTCATTGTTAAGTAGTTGTATTTGGGGGCCTGGAACGGATCTCCCCAGAATGAATGCTATAATGGACGAGGTTCTAGAACCAATTAGATTTGTTATAGCATACCCCACTGTAATTATTGTATCTAGATACAGCAATGTTCTGGTGTCTGAGGCCAACATAGTAATACTGGATCTCAGTACAATGCTACATATTTGGGTTTCTTCATGACCTTATCAATGTTTAGAAAAGCAGGGCTATAGCAGATATAGTTTCCCTTCTCAGGCAGAAACTGATAGTCTTTCATTCATTATAATTACTAAATACAATACATGACCATATTAACCTGAGATTTCAGCATTATCATACTGAGTATTTATTTCAGTTTAAATTTAATTAGAATAATCACAAATCTATTTACTGTATTATACTGTACTGCATTTAGTAAAAGAAATTTAGTTTCAAGTGGGTTTGTATTTAGCTAGCATATTTTAAGATTACACATACAGTGGAGACAAGTGGATTTCACAATTCAACATTATGTCAGTGTGAACAAGGTAAAACTTATGAGAGGCATCAAGGAAACTCAATAGCCAAACTTGAGTCCTGGAGGTGGGAAGCAGTGCTTGCATTCTGAAGGAGGGGTAAGAATGTTGCAGTTTGGAGGGTCATTGGAACTGATGTGGGCAAGCTGCTGCCAAGACAGTGACTGAATGAGTGATGATGAAAGTGCTTCCTCTTTTTAGGTCACCTTGCCTCAGTGGGAGATGACCAGTGTTAAACGAAAGTAGAGTACTGTAGTTCTAAAATTTTATCTAACTGTAGGAACAGAATGAAATGCAAGTAGGTAATGAAAAATGAGGTACTGTACCAAAAAATATTATACAGTTGAATCCAAAAATTCACAAGCTTTACAATTCTCAAAATTCAATTATACAGTGCAAGGGCACCTCACTGACAGCTTTGATTATTCTTGCAATGCTCATATTTTGGGGTTTGGTTCATGATTCCAGAAATTAAAACTTTTCTTTCTTTCTTTCAACACACCGGTCGTATCCCACCGAGGCGGGGTAGCCCAAAAGGAAAAATGAAAGTTTCTCCTTTTACATTAGTAATATATACACGAGAAGGGGTTACTAGCCCCTTGCTCCTGGCATTTTATTTGCCTCTTACAACACGCATGGCTTACGGAGGAAGAATTCTGATCCACTTCCCCATGGAGATAATAGGAAATAGACAAGAACAAGAACTAGAAAGAAAATAGAAGAAAACCCAGAGGGGTATGTATATATATGCTTGTACATGTATATGCAGTGTGACCTAAGTGTAAGTAGAAGTAGCAAGACATACCTGAAATCTTGCATGTTTATGAAACAGAAAAAAGGACACCAGCAATCCTACCATCATGTAAAACAATTACAGGCTTTCGTTTTACACTCACTTGGCAGGACGGTAGTACCTCCCTGGGCGGTTGCTGTCTACCAACCTACTACCTATAAGAAATGAAAACTAACTACAGGATTTCAATCAAGTTGCATTTATTGCATTTCCCATGCCCAGATATGTTTTTTATCTACTCATTCTTTCTTATGAATGTCAGTATCAATTAGATTAGATGAGAATTTAAAAAAATGGAAGAGTCAAACCAGCCATAAAATTTTCTTTAAATTTTTAAGGCATTGTACATCTAAAATATAATACAGGACAATTTCAATAATCCAGAAATATGTACAAAATTTTGTATCATTTGTCACTGACCTCCAGAAACTTAGCCTTCACAAATTCTGAGGTTAAATTTCATATAATAGCACACATGGATTTCACCCATACTGCACTTGTTTTAATAGGTTTTTATATTTTCACAACCCAGCCTGTCATCAAGCTATTGCTACTTGCAGCCTGCAGGCTCACATAGTACTCACAACCTAGCTGATATAGCACATTCTAGAGAAACAAATGCAGTTCCCACTTAAAGACTTCTACGTCTAATATCCCCATGTAGAGCAACAAAATTTACAAAACATATGTAACATACATTCACAAAATTATCCTAGCAGTGGGTGCCCATCAACATGAAAAATAATTATGCCACTTATTTGTTTGGGAAAACAATCACTAACCTCATGTGGAGCTTGAACCCACGGGTAAGTGCTGTCCCGCTGCCCACAACAGCAACACCTTTACCGACTGAGCCATTACAGCCTGTAAAAGAGCAGGACGCCCATGAGGACGTTGTGGCCCTGCTCCACAGCCCATTTGAAGAATAATTTCTCAAGTATAAACTGAATCCCACCTTTGAGATAGGCTACAAGATCCAAATACATATAAATACAGTACATATAAAAGAACATAAATACTGTTATGTTCCAATGAACCTATAGATATTACATGTGGATGTACGTAAGGATGGTTATACCGTACAGGTGAATAAAAATGGGTAATATTATATACAGTGGACCCCCGACATTCGATATTAATCCAGTCCTGAGAGCTCATCGAATGTCGAAAATATCGAAAGTCGAATTAATTTTCCCCATAAGAAATAATGGAAATCAAATTAATCTGTGCAAGACACCCAAAAGTACAAAAAAAAAATTTTACCACATGAAATATTAAGTTTAATGCAATAGAATAATTACAATAACAACAATAACAATAGATTAATAACAATAGAATAATTGACACTTACCTTTAATGAAGATCTGGTGATGACTGATGGGATGGGAGGAGGGGAGAGTGCGGATGGTGTTAGTGTTTAGAAGGGGAATCCCCTTCCATTAGAACTTGAGGTATCAAGTCTTTTTCTGTGGTTGGTAGACAGCAACCACCCAGGGAAGTACTACCGTCCTGCCAGATGACTGTGAAACAAAAACCTGTAACTGTTTTGCATGATGGTAGGATTGCTGGTTTCTTTTTCTGTCTCATAAACACGCTAAATAACGGGGATATCTTGCTCTCCTACTTACACTTTGGGCAACTTCTAGACACGCCTGCATTATATATAATACATACTCTGGTTTTTCTCCTTTTTTAAAAAGCTCTTGTTTTTTTTATTTTTTCTATTTCCATGGGAATGGGAAAAGAATCTTTCTCCGTAAGCCATGGGTCGTATGAGGGGACTAAAATGCCGGGAGCAAAGGGCTAGTAACCCCTTCCCTTATACTTACTAAAAAAAAGAAGAAGAAAAAATTTATAAAACTGGGGGCTTAAATGTGCTGGATGTAGTGCGGATGCAAGAAACAGATGATTGCTGATGTTATGAATGAAAAAAAGTTGGTGTCCTGGCCCCAAGCGAAACAATGAAGGGGGGAGGAGAGTTTCGTGGGGGGGGAAAAAAAGGATTAAAAACGGGGGTATTGAAGAGTTAGAGCAAAGGGGGGTACGTAATTTAAATGATAGTTATGAGGGGAAAAGAGAATATGAATGTGTAAATTCAAGAATTATGTGGATTAAAGTAAAAGGTTGGATGCGAGAAGTGGGTCATAATAAGCGTGTATGCACCTTGGAGAAAGAGGGAATGCAGAGGAGAGAGAGAGATTTTGGGAGATGTTAAGTGAATGTATAGGAGCCTTTGAACCAAGTGAGAGATAATTGTGGTAGGGACTTGAATGCTAAAGTAGGAGAAACTTTTAGAGAGGGTGTGGTAGGTAAGTTTGGGGTGCCAGGTGTAAATGATAATGGGAGCCCTTTGATTGAACTTGTATAGAAAGGGGTTTTAGTTAAGGTAATACATATTTTAAGAAAAAGAGGATAAATAAGTATACACGAAAATGATGTAGGGCGAAATGACAGTAGTTTGTTGGATTATGTATTGTTAGATAAAAGACGTTGAGTAGACTTCAGGATGTACATGTTTATAGAGGGGCCACAGATATATCAGATCACTTTCTAGTTGTAGCTACACTGAGAGTAAAAGGTAGATGGGATACAAGGAGAATAGAAGCATCAGGGAAGGGAGAGGTAAAGGTTTATAAACTAAAAGAGGAGGCAGTTAGGGTAAGATATAAACAGCTATTGGAGGATAGATGGGCTAATGAGAGCATAGGGAATGGGGTCGAAGAGGTATGGGGTAGGTTTTTAAAAAATGTAGTGTTAGAGTGTTCAGCAGAAGTTTGTGGTTACAGGAAAGTGGGTGCAGGAGGGAAGAGGAGCGATTGGTGGAATGATGATGTAAAGAGAGTAGTAAGGGAGAAAAAGGCAATGGGGTCGAAGAGGTATGGGGTAGGTTTAAAAATGTAGTGTTAGAGTGTTCAGCAGAATTTGTGGTTACAGGAAAGTGGGTGCAGGAGGAAGAGGAGCGATTGGTGGAATGATGATGTAAAAAAGAGTAGTAAGGGAGAAAAAGTTAGCAAAATGAGAAGTTTTTACAAAGTAGAAGTGATGCAAGGAGGGAAGAGTAATGGAGAAAAAGAGAGAAGTTAAGAGAGTGGTGAAGCAATGTAAAAAGAGAGCAAATGAGAGAGTTTGGGGGAGATGTTATCAACAAATTTTGTTGAAAATAAGAAAAAGTTTTGGAGTGAGATTAACAAGTTAGAAAGCCCAGAGAACAAATGGATTTGTCAGTTAAAAATAGGAGAGGAGAGTTATTAAATGGAGAGTTAGAGGTATTGGGAAGATGGAAGGAATATTTTGAGGAATTGTTAAATGTTGATGAAGATAGGGAAGCTGTGATTTCGTGTATAGGGCAAGGAGGAATAACATCTTGTAGGAGTGAGGAAGAGTCAGTTGTGAGTGTGGGGGAAGTTCGTGAGGCAGTAGGTAAAATGAAAGGGGGTAAGGCAGCCGGGATTGATGGGATAAAGATAGAAATGTTAAAAGCAGGTGGGGATATAGTTTTGGAGTGGTTGGTGCAATTATTTAATAAATGTATGGAAGAGGGTAAGGTACCTAGGGATTGGCAGAGAGCATGCATAGTTCCTTTGTATAAAGGCAAAGGGGATAAAAGAGAGTGCAAAAATTATAGGGGGATAAGTCTGTTGAGTGTACCTGGTAAAGTGTATGGTAGAGTTATAATTGAAAGAATTAAGAGTAAGACGGAGAATAGGATAGCAGATGAACAAGGAGGCTTTAGGAAAGGTAGGGGGTGTGTGGACCAGGTGTTTACAGTGAAACATATAAGTGAACAGTATTTAGATAAGGCTAAGAGGTCTTTGTGGCATTTATGGATTTGGAAAAGGCGTATGACAGGGTGGATAGGGGGCAATGTGGCAGATGTTGCAAGTGTATGGTGTAGGGGAGGTAGGTTACTGAAAGCAGTAAAGAGTTTTTACGAGGATAGTGAGGCTCAAGTTAGAGTATGTAGGAAAGAGGGGAATTTTTTCCCAGTAAAAGTAGGCCTTAGACAAGGATGTGTGATGTCACCGTGGTTGTTTAATATATTTATAGATGGGGTTGTAAGAGAAGTAAATGCGAGGGTCTTGGCAAGAGCGTGGAGTTAAAAGATAAGAATCACACACAAAGTGGGAGTTGTCACAGCTGCTCTTTGCTGATGACACTGTGCTCTTGGGAGATTCTGAAGAGAAGTTGCAGAGATTGGTGGATGAATTTGGTAGGGTGTGCAAAAGAAGAAAATTAAAGGTGAATACAGGAAAGAGTAAGGTTATGAGGATAACAAAAAGATTAGGTGATGAAAGATTGAATATCAGATTGGAGGGAGAGAGTATGGAGGAGGTGAACGTATTCAGATATTTGGGAGTGGACGTGTCAGCGGATGGGTCTATGAAAGATGAGGTGAATCATAGAATTGATGAGGGAAAAAGAGTGAGTGGTGCACTTAGGAGTCTGTGGAGACAAAGAACTTTGTCCTTGGAGGCAAAGAGGGGAATGTATGAGAGTATAGTTTTACCAACGCTCTTATATGGGTGTGAAGCGTGGGTGATGAATGTTGCAGCGAGGAGAAGGCTGGAGGCAGTGGAGATGTCATGTCTGAGGGCAATGTGTGGTGTGAATATAATGCAGAGAATTCGTAGTTTGGAAGTTAGGAGGAGGTGCGGGATTACCAAAACTGTTGTCCAGAGGGCTGAGGAAGGGTTGTTGAGGTGGTTTCGACATGTAGAGAGAATGGAGCGAAACAGAATGACTTCAAGAGTGTATCAGTCTGTAGTGGAAGGAAGGCGGGGTAGGGGTCGGCCTAGGAAGGGTTGGAGGGAGGGGGTAAAGGAGGTTTTGTGTGCGAGGGCTTGGACTTCCAGCAGGCATGCGTGAGCGTGTTTGATAGGAGTGAATGGAGACAAATGGTTTTTAATACTTGACGTGCTGTTGGAGTGTGAGCAAAGTAACATTTATGAAGGGATTCAGGGAAACCGGCAGGCCGGACTTGAGTCCTGGAGATGGGAAGTACAGTGCCTGCACTCTGAAGGAGGGGTGTTAATGTTGCAGTTTAAAAACTGTAGTGTAAAGCACCCTTCTGGCAAGACAGTGATGGAGTGAATGATGGTGAAAGTTTTTCTTTTTCGGGCCACCCTGCCTTGGTGGGAATCGGCCGGTGTGATAATAAAATAATAAAAAGAAATAATGGAAATCAAATTAATCTGTGCAAGACACCCAAAAGTACAAAAAAAAAATTTTACCACATGAAATATTAAGTTTAATGCAATAGAATAATTACAATAACAACAATAACAATAGATTAATAACAATAGAATAATTGACACTTACCTTTAATGAAGATCTGGTGATGACTGATGGGATGGGAGGAGGGGAGAGTGCGGATGGTGTTAGTGTTTAGAAGGGGAATCCCCTTCCATTAGAACTTGAGGTATCAAGTCTTTTTCTGTGGTTACTTCCCTTCTTCTTTTAATGCCACTAGGACCAGCTTGAGAGTCACTGGACTTCTGTCGCACAACATATCTGTCCATAGAGCTCTGTACCTCCCGTTCCTTTAAGATTTGTCTAAAATGGGCCACAACATTGTCATTGTAATAGTCACCAGTACGGCTTGCAATAGCTGTGTTAGGGTGATTTTCATCCATAAAGGTTTGCAGTTCAACCCACTTTGCACACATTTCCTTAATCTTTGAAGTAGGCACAATGGATTCCACAACTGGCATAGGCTTCTCAGGGTTAGCCCCAAACCCTTCAAAATCTTTCTTAATTTCCATACTAATTCTCACCCTTTTTACCACAGGGTTGGCACTAGAAGCTTTCTTGGGGCCCATGGTGACTTATTTTGCAGAAACAAGCACCAAAAACAGTGATAATATGGATAATATGGAATGAACCGAATGTATCCTTAGATGCGCGCACACTGGCTGGCTTGTAAACACTGGCACACACGGGGCAGTTCAGGCCACACGTGGACACGTCTCGTACGAATCGTATTGAATAGTGGGTTTTCGATCGAATGTCGAGGCGAATTTTTTGCGTTAAAATGCATCGAATGTCGGATTTATTGAATGTCGATGCCATCGAATGTCGGGGGTACACTGTACTAATCTGCTTAAAATTGTGATTAATGAAAAGAAAAATAAATATACATACCCTTCTTTTCCTGTTGCCTGGGAGACATTCAAACATGAGATCCATCATCCTAGTCTTGCCAGTTCCAACAGTCCCCCATATATATACACCCCTAGGAGGATTCACATCTCTCTGCCAACCCAGAAACTTCTGCAATGCATTTGGTGGAGGTGGTGGTGTATATGTCAAAACCTGTAAGAAGCTAGGTGTTGACATGAAGGACTTTTCACTTCATTATCATTGTGTACCTGCTTCAAATGCCAATTAACTGTACTTAAATTTACAAATAGTGCAAGTCTTTGTTAAATAATCTTTTGTTATGCAAACAAGCAATTCTAAAGAAATTATAACACAGGTTTAAAGTTTCAACATGAAGCTGACTGCTGGCAGGTGGCTAAACCACTACAGTATTCAGCTTTCTCCACTAATAACTGCCCAGCATACTGTATAGTTAACTAATGAAATAATATTTTTAACAAAGTTATATTATTATTTTATTCACGGGGAAGTACTCAACACAAAGTGGACATGCTGCACCTGGGAAAGTTGTAAGTTTCATTGTTGTGTATGATAGAACACAGCTGTAAAAAAGAAAATGTAGTGGGGGAGAGAATTTAAATTAACTGCAGTAGAGAGATTATTATTACATTCTGAGACTACTAAACTCTAGCAACATTTAGCAATATATAGTGGATGAAAAGTGTAAACTGATGATAACAAGGAGAAAATTAAATTGTAGGTATGAAGTTCAATGTCAATTGGTAAATACTGAAATCTGTTTACTGCAAGTACCTGAGCTGTGTGATTTACTAAAAGCTCAATTTTGCAGGGTGGTATCTGAAATGTGTATGTGAAGGTGAATGCATGGTGCAATAACAAGGCCTAGCTATAAATAACAAAAAAGGAAATAATGTGACTTAGAAGGCTCCAAGTTAAGATAGTTCAAACCCTCATGCAAGGTTGCACACACTCTGGCATAAACATAAAAATGTAATTGCATAACAAAGTTGGATAATCCAAGGAGCCTGTTTACTTTGGAGAATATACAGATAAGGTAATTATGATACTGATTATAGGAAAGTAGTAGAGTGGAGGTTGATTTTGGGAAGAAGGTCACTGCCGCAGGTAGCACAGTCCCAGACCAGGCTTCTTGGTTGATAGCCTGATCAAAATTAAGTGCTAAACCTGCCCAAAAAGCCGTTTGTGCTAGCAGCACACAGTCCAATGTAGGCACTACAGCTCAACTTGTTTGGAATTGACTCAAGGAATTTGTAAAGTTCCCTCTTTGAGAGAATGAAGGGTCTTTTGGTAATTACTCTTGTAAAGTATATGAAGGGAGGACATTGAGAAGTCTTAAGGCCTTTATTTATTTTTTGAGTTTTCTCTTAGCGTACTTATTACAGTATAACAAATAGTTTGAAAACAGGAGAAAGAAAATGATAAGTATTTGGGAAGATATGAGCCGATGTTCAAAATAACATGATATGCTCTGGAAAACACACAAGTGGCAATGAAGAGGACTAGGCGGAAGCAACTATTAGGAGGGCATGACCGAAAATGCATTTAACTGTATCTAATATGCAGCATAAGATGCCATTATTTCAGCTGAAATACTGGTGTGAAAGTTTTGGCTGTGTGTGATGGTACAAGTTTTTTGAGATTCATAGTACTAATTGTAGAAATATGCACAGCAAAGTGTCACTGCAAATGCTTTTAACCATTTTCTATTACAGTTTCCTCCCCTTCCTTGCAGGTACCCCCTATACCCTATGAATCTGAGAAATAAGCAGTGATGACAATGACTTATGACTCCAGTAAAAATATTTTCCTCAGTAAAAGCAGTATAAGCTCTGAGGATATTTACAAGACTAAGTTTATCAAACACCTGAGACAATGAATACAGTGCAAGTAGTGAGAGCAGAGGTGGAAAAGTGCTAATGCTAGTGACTGGTGCTAGTATGCAATGCACTGGTATCTGGCCTCCGCATGTGACTACCATACCTCATTGTTTTACTCCATTTTAATTTTGATGACTTGTTCTTGCATTTAACAGCTGCATTGCTAAAGATAGTACAGTAGAACATCACAAATCTAAACTTGAACATTCCAGGATCTTCATTTGCTCATAAAGTTTATGCCAGATCCTCAGGAACCAGTAGTCCATGAAAACCCCTGAAATTCAGGAATGTTTCCACGACTCACCACTCAGGCATCTGTGCACTGTTTGCTTCTTGGTAGCCATTATTCACATGCTGACATTAAGACTTTGTGTGTGGGCAATGTAATTTAGTTTTCTAGCTTCCCGCAAAATTTTAATTTTTGGAAAAAAAGCAGTGATCAAAGTGAAAAACAATTCACTCACTATTAAAAAGATGAAATGCAAAGAAATTGATGCAGTTTTGGTGAATCATTTAAGGATTAGCCATAATATAATATTGGTTTTTCCCATATTTCAAAATCCCAAAAAACTGTGATAAATCCTTTAATTTATTTTGAAATGGACAGTCAAGACAATAAACCTGATTTCTAAATGTGCAAAATTTGCAGCTTTGGTTATTCTTGTAGAGTGTTTTTAAACCACTGAAAGAATGTAGGCACTCCTATTGGGGAAAAAAAAAAAAAAAAAGAAATATTCCATGATAATTTGAAATTAAATTACTGTACTAAAAAAGTATATTTCTCTAAAGGCTGTTACAATATCAAGCAATGAAAAAAACATTTAAATGAAAGTGGTACCTTGTGGCTCAATTTTTTGAGACTAAAATTTACAAATGTAGTGGAGGGAAAAAAATAAGTCCCGAAAAATTACGCGACAATGAGGGGGGAAGAACCATGTAATTTTTCAGGGGGTAGAAAAAAAAAGTCCACATAATATCAAGAGAAATTCAAGGAAAATTTACGTTTTTGTATATGCTTGCTGTTGGAAGATTAAAATATGAAACATAACAACTGATTGTAAACAAATTATGCCAGCGTGGTACAGTGGGTTTAAAAAGCACTGACCCGCTAGTTTTATGACTTTCTTTCCATGGGTTCGAAAACTCACCCTTTTTGCAAAGCTTTTGTACTGTACTTTGAAAGTAAAGGGGAAAATTTTTTTGTATTTTTTAAGGCTAAAAAAGGGCAGGGATCACTTGGAAAAAAATCAACCAACTAGTTTACTAAGCATTTTTTAGCAAAAAGTTTTAACAAATCATTAAGTGAGACTAGAAATGACTACAACCAGTACCTCCCGTTGCTAACCCCTGCCAAAGTGATTTCTACCATTTGTCTAATTCACGGTTTTTACAAAATGTAATTTGGGAACAAAGCCCCTTTTACAAAAACTGGCTAATGACTTTTTTTTCAATGTACTTACATAAAAATGTGGTTTTAAATTTAAGACTTCAAGTTAAAAAAAAAAAAAAAAAAAATCTAGTATTCTGGAAGGTTCAGCCCCCCAAAAAATCCAATTTTTGGGGCTAAATTTTGATTTTCGAGATTATCAAAGGTTAAGCCTGATGCCAGTGAAACATTTTATGAAGCAATTTCATATTAGCATTCACTCCAGTAAGATAATTCACTAGCAAAGAGGTTAAGAAATACAAAGAATTTTATTAATTGTTCTCTTAGAAGAAGCAGCTTATACTTCATGTAATGAACTTACCATATATTCAGAGGAAAGCATTAAACTCAAGAGCCTTTATAAGCTATATACCTCAATTATTAGATATAGTGACCATTAAGTAAATATTATGTTAATGAAAATAAAATTTCAAAAAGTTGAGCATCCCAAAGAATTTAAAAAAATTAATGTGTCTACTTATAACTACTGAAAATGACTTGTCACAAAAAAAATGTTGAGGTCTGTTATATGGGATTTTGGCAGTATTTCAATTTCCTCTCAAAGATCATAATATTAATCCTCACCAGACTTAAATGACAATATAATCTATTTTTACAATAATCAGAAACTTGCTACTAGTTTTTTAGCTCAAAACTTATACTGAAGATGGCATTCTATCATGATAAACCTCAAGAATTTACAGTACCTCGTCATAACATCGCTGAAGCTCATTTACAATTTCTTTTTGATGTTGATCATATAGCAGCTTTCTTTCAGCAATAAAATTATCATATACAGACAATGGGCCTTCAATTGTTTTCGCTGATGCTTCTTGGGCAACTGTGGCTAAAAAACGCATGGGATATGCACCACACACAAACCTCTGAGCCACCAGCATTCCTCTGTAATTCAAAAAAAAAATTAAACTTTCAACAGGTTTAAACTTTTTTTATTCAAAATTAAAAAAATGAATACATAATTAAAAAAAGAGACTATAAACTTATAAGCCAAGAAAAAGTGAACATTAAAAACCATACTACTACAGCACTATATTGAAACCGTGAAAATACTCTACCGATTCATAACAAAATAACCTTCCCAGAAAACCCTCACTTTAATGGACTAACATGAATTGGAGCACCAGTGGTCAATAATGGCAATTGTGGTATATGAGCCTCTTACCAGGGAACTTCCTGGATATTGGTAAGAGGATTTTGATTCAAGGAATTGTCCCTACCCACCTCTTCCTTGGATCTAACCTGATTGCTTCCTATTCCACCAGGTGTTGAATGACCCCAATAAATGTAATAATGTATGTGTGCCCTCTGAGTCCATACTGATTAAGGTTACAAAGAATATTATGATCAATCATATCAAAAGCCTTATGCAAATCAATAAAAGGGTCAATAGTATACTTATTTCTTTGAAGGTAATCTACACATATGCTGCTATGTATGATGATTTATGTAAGTATATATATGCACCTGTACCTGAATAAAAACTCACTTCCTTACTTAAATACATCTCCCTCCTCTCTCCTTCCCCACCTCTCTTCTCACTCTCCTCTCCCCTTTCTCTCCCATGGGATAATGGGTAGAATGGTATTAAGAGTGAGGTAGTAAGAGCAGGTAAGCAAGTTTATTCAGGTATAGGTACACATAAATACGTACATTATTATTATAATCAAAAAGAAGCGCTAAACCACAAAGGTTATACAGCCACATAAATACAGTGTAGATTACCTAAGATAACCCAAGAAAGTCAAAGTGATTAATTTCCATTGGAGTCCTTGAGATTACCTAGGTAGGTAGTGTACTTGTTAAATATATATGAATGATGGTAAGGTACCTAAGGTTTGCCAGTGCATGCTTAATTTCTTTCGCCTACAAAGTAATGATAGACCTAAAGTACGCAAATAAACCTGTTGAATGTGCTGGGTAAAGTGTACAGCATTATGTGGGCCAGACAGCCGCCAGCAGTAACAGCCTGGTTGACCAGGCAAGCACCGGAAAAGCCGGGCTCAGAAGTATAAAAACTCGCGAAACTCATTAAATGTTCACTTTCATTGGTGCCTAATTTAGCATTTTGTTCACGTGGAAGAGCTAAACCCATAGGGATTATACACCCATTGTG